AAACGATCACAATTTTGCCATTCCAAGTGTCTAATGGTCTTCTCTTAGATCAATAAATAGCCCCCAGAGTGATGAACGTGGACATGTTGCTTGCTTCTCATCACCATTACATCTTTCTGCAGCCCTCATTCGAGTGAAAGCAACGAGCGGCAGAAAGGCTTCTCCTCTCATTCTGCTCGGAGGAAAAAAAGGAGAGCCTGAGAAAAAAAACTGCAAATTCACACAGAGACCCCCGGTAGCTCAACAAATGAGTGTCTAGCTCGCCGTCCATTCACTCCAAACCCCCTCGAACCCACAAGCCTATTAGCCAGGCATCTTTCCTGTCGACAACATGTGGAGGCGTCACTATAGTAACCGGTGGATATGACATCGGGGGAGTCCTGATCCGCTGAATATAAGGAGGGGCTCAGCCTTAACTAAATGATGCAAAAAAACCACCACCACCCTTCCTCCACCTCCTCCACCTCCTCCTCCTCCTCCTCCTTCTCCTCTGTCTCTTTTCATTGGAGGCGCTGAAAGGACTCGGTTTGCGGGGCTTCTTCTTTCTTGCACATTCTTGCAAAGCTCGGAGAATCAGGCGGGCATATCCCACATTCTTCTCCCCTTTTTTATTATTCAGTTTTTTAGCGTCTTTTGTTGGACATTCGAAGCCAGGGGAACTTTTTCCTTTTTTTCGGAGCAGCGTTACGCACGGACAGACGCTTCTTCTTCTGCTTCTTCTTCTTGGAGCTGCTGCAGAGGTGGTGGAGGAGGAGGAGGTTGTGTTTTAAAACATGATGATCTGTGGAATACAGCTCGAAGAACCCTCCGTTTGCATCGCTTCGTTCGCTCTGCTCCGCGACATGGATTCGGGTAATTATCTCAGATTCTCCGTGCTGTTTTTCGGTGCGTGAAAACTACACGCATTACAGCATCGGCTTTAGAAAACTTGTCACGTTTTTGAAGCTGCTGCAAAAATATTCTTTCATATTGCTATCTATCTATCTACAAGCTTACAGGGTTATTAAATGTGACCGTGTGTTGCAGGAGATATGCACATTAATGTCGGGAATTGAAACGTAAATTCAGCGAAACATCCAGAATCTTGAGCCCCGAGCACATCTGGCTGCTGGGACAAAGTTTCTGCGTGTTCAGAAGGAGGTCAATCATCTCTGAGATTCATGTTTTTACCATATTTTAATCTTCTTTAGTCAAATAAGTGAGCGGAATAATTTTTTTGTATATTCTTGGATTTATTCCCCTCTTTTCCATTCATAAAAATACTATTTTTACACTGCGATTCATTCCCTAAATTATTATTTTGTAGTTTACAAATTGGTCTGATTCTGCTGCAAGGTTTTTACCAATTTGCCTATTTTTCTTTAATACCTTACGTCTATGAAAAATATCCTGCATGTGTTTTTTTAATTGTGCATTTGTCTTGTAACTCTGGTCACATTTTATCGCCTAGATTTGAAAGTGTCGTTGAGGTTCTGGAGGGTTTTGTGTTTTGAGTGAAAGGGAAAGGAGCCGCCCGCCAACACCTCTCCGCCTGACCTCTCCTCGATCATTAAATAATCCTGAGGTCCATCTGCCTCCTCTCAGAGTCATTCACCCCGCAGAATCAGAAAGGGAAAGTCTGGAGGAGTAAAAACATAAATGCTTGTTCAAAGGAATAAAAACATGTATTTTTTTTTAGTTAAATGGACGAAAAAAATTGTTTTAAATCCATTTTTATCGCCGAAATACAAAATATTCCTCTAACAATACAATATGAATTTGTTGCAAGCTTTTATTTGTGTCTTTTAATTATTTTTCAGTGATTGAATACTCGGAAAAAATCAAATTATAGTGGAATTAAATGCATTTTTTTTAAGGCCGATGAAGGGTATTATTTGCCTCCCTCTTCCTCCTCCTCCTCTTCCTCTCTGTGGTTTCTATTAGCGCCTTCAAACACATTCTTGCAGTGCGTTTTTTTTTTTAAAGGCATTTCAACCTGAGGTCACATTTCTGATTAACTTCATTTCTTTCTGAGTTGTCGGGCAGGATTGGAGTCTGTAGTCTTCAGAGGCATCGATGTGTGATTTTGATTATTAAAACACGTCGGAGGGGTTTCACAAAGTGCCAAATATTCACATTTTAATCGTCTAATTGTGAGAGAGGTTGCATTTGATCACTGAGCGACACCTCGTTCAACCTGATCAGTTAGAGAGCGATCATACCCCACGTCTGAGGCTTTTTAAATGCACCTTATATGGATGTTTTCTCATCATTTGATCCCCTGAGCGACACATCAAATCAAAGCCCATCGTCCCCTCTCAAACCTCTCAACGCTTGATTCAAATGACGTGCTCGAAACCACGGCAATCAGCAGAAGGCCAAACACAGAAATCGAACAAACCACCGCTAAAAACATTGGCAATTAAGCTCCACAAGGTCAGAGCGTGGTGCGAGGGGTTTTGGTTTTGTGCAACAACACGTAGACACCCTGCAGACGGCCCCTCAGGGTAAATGTCAGCGTCATTAGCATTTATTTAGTAGGTTTCATTCACTTCACACATCAATCCTTCACTATAGGAGCCTGCTGATGCACCTGTGCGTTGATATTGCCATGCAGAGGGTTGTTGGCGGGTCAAATTAGATTACAAATGTTCTTTTTGTGAGAAAGGAAATATCATTTATCATTTATCAAAACTAACTTGGCAGGACGTCCATATTCGATGCAATCTCTAACAGATTCACTCTCCATAATGCATGCAGGGAATTACCTGCTGATGCATTTGTGTATTGATATTCTGTATTTGTACACTTATTATCTGGTCAAATGTGATTAAAACAGTGGCTTTTTGCAGATGATTGATGCAGAGAAAACTCCATATGTCATGCAGTCTCTAACAGTAGCTACATGTATGCTCAGCATTAATTACCCTTCCCAATTAATGCTCCTAATTATGCTTTTAAAATGCACCAGTGGGGCCCACGGGGGGGGGGGGGGGGGGGGGGTTTATCAGTACAGTAAATGCAGCAATTATAAACACAACGGGCCGTTCTTTAACCTGCGCTGCTGATAGAAATCTCTCACATGATATCACATTAAAAACAGGTCGATGGGGGGGGGGGGTGTTGAATATGTTGGTTTTCTGAGTTTAGGCCCCCATTAGCCGTGAAGCTAATCCATCCAAACCAGGACCAGAGGAGATAATTAAACCCCAGTTTGTTAGGATCCAAACCTCCTGTAGCTGAAGAGTGCCAAATCAAACCGTGCCAGATTTAAAAGGGGGTGTAAATATCTATAGTTGGTGGAGAATAGGAGGATTGTGTGGTACAGTTACACCTCATGTATTAACGTCACCTCGCAGCAGTTCACTTTATTGACACTAGGGGGATCTTTTTAGGAGCTGCTAAACTTAAAGGACGCTGTCATGACATTAAAACCACCTTTTTTAATAGATTACAAAGAAAGAAGACTGTATTCTCCTACAGTTACATCAACAAATACATGCTAAAAATGCTAGCAGGAGATACAAGGCATTTATAAATAAAATGTGTTTTCTGTCAGCTACTAAACGGTAGTGTGTGCTCATGTGTTTCAGTGTTCGGCTACTGCCTGAATGTGCTCAATAAAAGGCAGGTTTTCTTATAAATAAAAGCATTTTTGATCCTAAATATATATTGAAAGACGAGGGTGCTAAGTACAGGGAACAGCGGGACAGGAAGTGGAGGTGGCACATGGTTTTAAAAAGCTGATTAATTGCATATTTTAAACCACAAAAAGATGCATCTTCTCCTCTGACAGCTTCTCTTCCTCGCTGTGTGTTAGAAAAATCTCACTGGTCTCCGGCTTGAGCTTCAATCTCAGGATCCATGTATCTGTGATCCTCTCCAGAATGGAAGTAGTCAAAACAAAGAAAGAGAATTTGATGGTATTTTTCTCATAATCTCAAAAGTCTTACTTTTTCTCAAAATTCTGACTTTTTTTCTCAAAATTCTGACTTTTTTCTCAAAATTCTGACTTTTTCTCAAAAAACTCAAAATTAAGACTTTTTCTCAAAAATGTCATGAATCTGACTTTTTCTGAATACTTAAAATGTTAATAATCACTCGTCCCCGGCTTGATCTTCAATCTCAGGATCCATGTGTTTCTGATCCTCTCCAGAATGGAAGTAGTCATCACATACAGAGCATCAACTAGTTCCTGAACAGTGTCCTTCACATGCTGATATCCAAGAGAGGGAGTTACACAGTCACAAGATGGAGGAATAGAAAGCAGTATTCAATGTTTACTTCAGATTAGCTCCACGTCAGAAATGAGCATGCTTGTCATATGTCTATCTCCATAGAGGCTGAATCATCATGTTAATCACATAGCTATCATATGCCTCAAACAGTCCTGATGCTCTTCTAGGTAATCATACATCCTGTCATGTTCACAGCTACAGTTGGGATACCTTTGTTATCATGTTACTCTCATATTGGAAGAGGACATTCAGTGTCCTATAAACAAGATCCTAAATATCTTAATACCTTTTAGTAAAGCTGGCTAATGAGCGGGACAGGAAGTGGAGGTGGCACATGTTTTAAAAGCTGATTAATTGCATATTTTAAATCAGGAATAGATGCATCTGTGGTGGAAATTCCACACTTAATCACCTTCTGGTAAGAAAAGAACAAATGTTATTTAATAAAGAGTTATAGCGATGAACAGAATCAATCTATTTCCAGCTGGAAGGACAGATAACCTGTAATGTAGCTCAAGAAGTTACATGACTTTATACAGAGGAGCAGGAAACAAAAAGGGAGTAAGACGGGTAACATCCGTGTGAAAATGGTCCAGTCTGTCGAGTCTAAGAGATCAGAAGGAAGCCAGTCTTTTGTATGAAGGGTAAGGACAGAAAGGACAGCCGTAGTTGACATTAGGACAGATACATTTCATCTGTGAGAAACCAACCCAAGAATGACATATATAACCAAATGAGACCCATCTCTCTGACAGCTCTTCTTCCTCCCTGTGTTCCCCGCAGAGAGGCAGCCTGACGGAGATCCCGGTGGTGAAGACGACCCGCGTGGAGTCGGGTCAGTTCCTCTTCCTCTCCGTCCTCTGTATGATCTTCATCCTGGTGGCGCTGCTCGTCTCCACCACCTTCTTCTGCCTCCGTCAGCGATCACACCTGCGTCTGAAAGAGAAACTGAGCAGCCTGGGGACGGACACCAGCACCGACGCCACGGCAACCTATCAGGTGAGAGCAGGGGGTTTCTGGGAGCCAATCAGGAGCCAGGAGAGAGAGAGTACACACATCCTTTACTCAAGAAGAAGTACAGATACTCGTGTTTAAAAATACTCTGGTGAAAGTAGAAGTACTGACTAAACTTCTTTACTCAAGTGAAAGTAAAGAGGCTTTGAAATGTACTTCAGTAAAAAGTACCCATAACTAGCAGCTGTTTTAAAGAGTACCTGACCTCCCTTTATATTAATAGAACAATAATGTCATTGTTAGCTAATGAATGTTTCCATGCTGAACAACGGCAACATGACAACGTTTTCATTGGTCCCTCTTCTTTAGAGAAGACCAGGAAATGATGGATACACGGATCAATAGTCAATAATAATGATCACGCCACCAAACACACATTCAAACTAAAGGAACCAGCCTGTTTGGAAATGTAAGAAGTAGAAAGTACAGGTATTTGTGTTCAAAATGTAAGAAGTAGAAAGTACAGGTATTTGTGTTCAACATGTAAGAAGTAGAAAGTACAGGTATTTGAGTTCAACATGTAAGAAGTAGAAAGTACAGGTATTTGGGTTCAACATGTAAGAAGTAGAAAGTACAGGTATTTGGGTTCAACATGTAAGAAGTAGAAAGTACAGGTATTTGGTTCAACATGTAAGAAGTAGAAAGTACAGGTATTTGAGTTCAACATGTAAGAAGTAGAAAGTACAGGTATTTGTGTTCAACATGTAAGAAGTAGAAAGTACAGGTATTTGGGTTCAACATGTAAGAAGTAGAAAGTACAGGTATTTGGGTTCAACATGTAAGAAGTAGAAAGTACAGGTATTTGGGTTCAACATGTAAGAAGTAGAAAGTACAGGTATTTGGGTTCAACATGTAAGAAGTAGAAAGTACAGGTATTTGGGTTCAACATGTAAGAAGTAGAAAGTACAGGTATTTGGGTTCAACATGTAAGAAGTAGAAAGTACAGGTATTTGGGTTCAACATGTAAGAAGTAGAAAGTACAGGTATTTGAGTTCAACATGTAAGAAGTAGAAAAGTACAGGTATTTGTGTTCAACATGTAAGAAGTAGAAAGTACAGGTATTTGGGTTCAACATGTAAGAAGTAGAAAGTACAGGTATTTGTGTTCAACATGTAAGAAGTAGAAAGTACAGGTATTTGGGTTCAACATGTAAGAAGTAGAAAGTACAGGTATTTGAGTTCAACATGTAAGAAGTAGAAAGTACAGGTATTTGGGTTCAACATGTAAGAAGTAGAAAGTACAGGTATTTGTGTTCAACATGTAAGAAGTAGAAAGTTCAGGTATTTGGGTTCAACATGTAAGAAGTAGAAAGTTCAGGTATTTGAGTTCAACATGTAAGAAGTAGAAAGTACAGGTATTTGGGTTCAACATGTAAGAAGTAGAAAGTACAGGTATTTGTGTTCAACATGTAAGAAGTAGAAAGTACAGGTATTTGTGTTCAACATGTAAGAAGTAGAAAGTACAGGTATTTGTGTTCAACATGTAAGAAGTAGAAAGTACAGATATTTGGGTTCAACATGTAAGAAGTAGAAAGTACAGGTATTTGTGTTCAACATGTAAGAAGTAGAAAGTACAGGTATTTGTGTTCAACATGTAAGAAGTAGAAAGTACAGGTATTTGGGTTCAACATGTAAGAAGTAGAAAGTACAGGTATTTGTGTTCAACATGTAAGAAGTAGAAAGTACAGGTATTTGGGTTCAACATGTAAGAAGTAGAAAGTACAGGTATTTGAAGTAAAAGTAAAAAGTATTGAAGTAAAGTACTGATACCAGAAACATGTACTTAAGTACAGTAACGCAGTATTTGTACTCCACTACTTCCCACCTCTGTGAGCCAATCAGGAGCCAGGACGCTCATCATCTCAATCTCAATCTTTATTCATTTATATAACACATTTAAAACAATAATTAAAAACAAGTTGTGCTCTGCTATTGGATGATGATTGGTTTGTGAGAGTGTGTGTGTTTGAATGTTTCTCTTCAAATGCTTTCATGACGATTTTAATTATATTGATTACCTTTTTGATTCAATTAGGTGTTCCTTTTTAATTTTGCAGCACTTTTTAATCTATTTAAAAAATCATATGCTCTTTAATTATTAGATTTAAGGCCCTAATGCTCCAATATATATCCGCTCGGTTAAATTATTCAATGCTCACCCTTGCCTGAGGTGTGTGTGTGTGTGTGTGTGTGTGTGTGTGTGTGTGTGTGTGTGTGTGTGTGTGTGTGTGTGTGTGTGTGTGTGTGTGTGTGTGTGTGTGTGTGTGTGTGTGTGTGTGTGTGTGTGTGTGTGTGTGTGTGTGTGTGTGTGTGTGTGTGTGTGTGTGTGTGTGTGTGTGTGTGTGTGTGTGTGTGTATTGATTTTCAGCGTTGGGGCTCAGCTGTGACACTCAGAGCAAATGTATCAGCATGTCACGTTAACATTTTCAATATTTAATCAGGTTTGCACAGAGCCGAGGTTTATATGTGAATATATGCTAGCTAGATATTAAGAATAGTGGAGAGGAGAGGACTCTTTAAAGTAGAGACACTACATACTGATATACACCTGAACATCAGCAGGAGAGGACTCTTTAAAGTAGAGACACTACATACTGATATACACCTGAACATCAGCAGGAGAGGACTCTTTAAAGTAGAGACACTACATACTGATATACACCTGAACATCAGCAGGAGAGGACTCTTTAAAGTAGAGACACTACATACTGATATACACCTGAACATCAGCAGGAGAGGACTCTTTAAAGTAGAGACACTACATACTGATATACACCTGAACATCAGCAGGAGAGGACTCTTTAAAGTAGAGACACTACATACTGATATACACCTGAACATCAGCAGGAGAGGACTCTTTAAAGTAGAGACACTACATACTGATATACACCTGAACATCAGCAGGAGAGGACTCTTTAAAGTAGAGACACTACATACTGATATACACCTGAACATCAGCAGGAGAGGACTCTTTAAAGTAGAGACACTACATACTGATATACACCTGAACATCAGCAGGAGAGGGACTCTTTAAAGTAGAGACACTACATACTGATATACACCTGAACATCAGCAGGAGAGGACTCTTTAAAGTAGAGACACTACATACTGATATACACCTGAACATCAGCAGGAGAGGACTCTTTAAAGTAGAGACACTACATACTGATATACACCTGAACATCAGCAGGAGAGGACTCTTTAAAGTAGAGACACTACATCCTGATATAAACCTTGAAATGAACCCTTTAAGGTCTCTTTTTTAAATGAAACTCTCTGGTGCTTACTGCCTCTCATCATTATAGTTTATACAGCTGAGCTCCAGAGGGAAATATCTCCGTGATAGATATCAGGAGGAGATAGCGGCTGCTTTCACGTGGCATTTTCCTCGGCTCAGTTATTAATTGAATATGCAAATGAAGTGGAGATGACTCCCGACACATGATGGGGTTTCTAGATTATAGAGTAGGAGAACACCACACCTTATGGAGAGAAACATCAAATGCAGGTGCACACATCTCACCTTCCTTAGAGAAGCCTACGTTTTATGACCTGGGAGGAAAAGCTGAGTCACTGGGAAATTATACTTTTAAAATGGTCCAAATGCAATCATATCTCCTCTGTGGTGGTGTTGTGCATTCACCATGAAGACTCCTGTTAGATTGATGCATGTATTCTCCTGTCTCTGCAGAAAAATGATCCAAATTCTTCTTTATTTGGGGCTTTTTACGGCATGACGGTGCATTATGATGGTTTTGTGCAGACTCACTTTTTGTTAGAATAACTAAAAGATGCATTTTTGAAGAATGAAGAATGAAGACAGGTGTTGTGTGGCAGCCAGGTGTGAGATACTGAATTGATTCTGTTAATCAGAGTAGTGGAAAGTACATTTACTTAAGTACACAAACCCACCCAGAAAAATAAGTTGAGGTGACACAAATATTCTAAAGGCGTTTTCTCATTGAAACCAGTTTCTAGGAGTTGAGGGCGTTCGGGGCTGAATTATTAAAGACCGTGGTACCGTTAAGCTCCGACGTTATCGCTCTTTTTATCGGTACTGGAGACACGTAAAACATATCTCATATGTATTATTGCTACACAAACATTATATTACAGTTTTAGTGTCGCCAACTCCGTTTCAAAAAGACTGCAAAATGCGTCTATGATTATTTTTAGTATTTTCGGTCTTTCCAATCCAGACGAGAGATCTCTCTCCCCCGTCTGTGTGCGAGGGGGCGGGGCAGTTTACATACACACAGCTGCTACATGCAGCAACACACACACACACACACACACACACACACACACGGAGGAGATGGCGGAGAGAGAGCGCTCCGAGGTGTGGTTAAACTTTACCCGTCTCGATGAGGACAATGCTCGTTACCAAAAGTGCAATAAGAGTTTAGCATGTCAGGGCGGCAACACGAGCAGTTTGTCTAAACATTTATCAAAAGTGCTCCACATCCAGACGGAGGAATGCACCGGGTTCGACTGTCTCTCTAGTAGCTCTGTAGCCCCGTCCACGAGTAACGTTTCCACGTCAGGTGTTATGTATGCTAGCAGCAACACACGGAGCTAACTCAATGATACAAACATGGGTTAATGATTAGAGGGAACGGAGTTATTTAGTTTGTTAAAGTTTCAGCTATTCTGTTCACAGTTCTGTCATCACATTATTTAATACCATTTGTTAAAACATTGTTGTTTCTTTTGATGTGAAATATTATGTATTTAATTTAAATAAAAAGCAATGTTAGTTTTGTTCACAATTTGTTTATTTTTTTCTCCAAAAGAACCGTTAAAAGACCGGATCGATAAGCGTTATCGATAAAAGTAGTAGTACCGTTAAAACCTTAACGATACCCATCCCTATTCGGGGGTATTATTTTGATGCCTTTAATGCCGTCTTACACATTATTTACATTAAACATGAGACCTGATCCTGCAGAGGTGAATCCACTCTTTACAGAAGATACCTTTTCCAAAAGAAGATGAGGAAGTTTAAGACATTTCCAGAGATCTTTTCTAATGCAAATAATCAAAATGCATAAAAAATACTCGAAGGAAACGTGGCTTGATTTGAATTCGCCCAGTGCTTCTGTACAGTAACGAGGTCTTTGTACTCCACTACTTCCCACCTCTGGATTTACTGAATTGATCCAGTAGTGGAAAGTACATTTTCTTAATTACACACCCCCCTCTCTCCTGCAGGAGTTGTGTCGGCAGCGAATGGCGATCCGAACCTCTGAGCGAGTCGAGCGTCCGGAGACTCTCAGAAACTCTCGTCTGAACAGCGTCTCGTCTCAGTTCAGCGATGGGCCGGCGGCGAGTCCTTCGACCCGGAGCAGCACCTCGTCCTGGTGCGAGGAGCCAGTGCCGTCCAACATGGACATCTCCACCGGACACATGATACTGGTGAGGACTCTTTAAAGTAGAGACACTACATACTGATATACACCTGAACATCAGCAGGAGAGGACTCTTTAAAGTAGAGACACTACATACTGATATACACCTGAACATCAGCAGGAGAGGACTCTTTAAAGTAGAGACACTACAAACTGATATACACCTGAACATCAGCAGGAGAGGACTCTTTAAAGTAGAGACACTACATACTGATATACACCTGAACATCAGCAGGAGAGGACTCTTTAAAGTAGAGACACTACAAACTGATATACACCTGAACATCAGCAGGAGAGGACTCTTTAAAGTAGAGACACTACAAACTGATATACACCTGAACATCAGCAGGAGAGGACTCTTTAAAGTAGAGACACTACAAACTGATATACACCTGAACATCAGCAGGAGAGGACTCTTTAAAGTAGAGACACTACATACTGATATACACCTGAACATCAGCAGGAGAGGACTCTTTAAAGTAGAGACACTACAAACTGATATACACCTGAACATCAGCAGGAGAGGACTCTTTAAAGTAGAGACACTACAAACTGATATACACCTGAACATCAGCAGGAGAGGACTCTTTAAAGTAGAGACACTACAAACTGATATACACCTAAAAATGAACATTATATAGCTTTGAATGTGCTACGCTCTTTGCAAACAACACACAGCGTCATTTCTCTCTGAGAGTTTGGAACTGTCTCTTCTTCGTCCCTTTTTCCATCACTCTTCTGTTATCTCGCCTCAGTTGTCTCCATTTGTCCTCCTTTCCCTCTCTCCCCCCCCCCCCCCCCCCTCTGTCTGCCCTCCTGCTGCAGCATTGTAACGCAGACATTGTGATGAGAGCTGCACTAAAAACTTAAAACATCATCATCCCTCTGATTGTCATTTTAGAAAAACATCGTAATGTCTTTTTGGTTTTCGGGGGGGGTTTTAAAAAGGGGGGTTTTAAAAAGCCTCCACAATGGATTGTTTCTGATGCTGCTCGACTGTGGCTTCATTCATTTGAGACAAGCTTGATAAAAGAGACGGATAGATGCCTGGCAGTGTTTCCATTAAAGCAGAGAGCATTCATCACGGCCTGTATACCGCCGGGCTGTAATGAATGAGGGAGAATCTGAGTAATGCCTCGTATTGCTGCTAATAGATGGGTTTTGTTGCACTCATCAAGGCTTGTTTGTGAAGCCGTGCTTTTCAAAACATTGACAATAGCAAAGCATGTAGCCCCGCCGGAACAAAAGGAGGCTGTGAATCATTCCTAGGAGCTCTTATTTATTATTAACCCTACTTTCTCCCGGACCCTCGTCTCCTCTGATTGACGGGGAGATGTCACATAGGGGGGGTTCTTCTTTAAAATTCCACCTCCATCTCGTATGAAACCATGTGTGAGATTGCCTTGTTATCGCTGATCTCAAAACCTATATTTTCCCATCATGCTTTGCTCTCTGGAGTTCACACCGTGTGGAGAAAGATGATGAATACCAGGCTCTCCAGAGCACATATGCTGGGGGGGGTCCTATCACCTCACATAAATGCTAGGAAGCTTCTTAAAAACTCCTGCATAACGAAACTTCAGATTGCCTCTGAGCGCTGAGTCATCGCTCTCTCATTTCCTATCTTCTTTTTGCCTTTTTCAGCAATTTAATGATTTAAAACCTCAGAAATGATTACCCGGTGATGCACACGTTGCTTATGAGGCTGTTTCTCTGTTTCGCTGCAGTCCGTTCAGCACCATGGACAGCAACTTAAACTTCATTTTCCTCAAAAAAAACCACCTCTTTCCAAAGAAATGTTTATAAATCACCTCTGTTGTGATAAAGAAAATATATATAATAAAATAAAATATAATATAATATATATAATAAAATAAAATATATATAATTATGTTGTATTTCACCTCTGTTGTGATAAAAAATATATATAATTATGTTGGCTGTATTTCAGCTACAATGGGCTATCTCTATCTGTTGCATTTGTATTATTTTATTTTATTTATTAGTATTTTTAATTAATTAATTGTAATTAAATATTTTTTTTAAATAGTATTTTTATTATTATTTTGTATTAATACATTTTTATTTCATGTTTTTAAATAGTAGTTTTATTTTATTTAATATTCTATATACTGAAATCCTGAAGTGGTCAATCAGGAATTATTTATTTCGATTGTTTTAATGATTTAATTTAACGTATTTGCTCAAAATAACAAAATATCCTGACAATTTTAAATGTGCTTTATTAGCAAAAAGCTGCTCCATTTAAGGCCAAACAATGTGCTCTATTCAGTTATACACTACTATCTACAGACGCAAACCTGTATGTGTATTTATTTAAGAAGACACAATGCACATTAATCAACATTCAGAGCACTCGTCATGTAAAATTATAATTATATTACTTGTAAAGCGACCTTGGGTCCCTTGAAAGGCGCTATATAAATGCAAGCTATTATTATTATTATAAAAGTGCCAGATTCAGGCACCTCTTAAAGCACATATCCCCAAATAACACACAGTAATCAGATTACTGTGACATTCTGATAGGTCAGAGTACACCTTGTCTCAGGTGACTAACCCTGTCTGTGTTACATAATAAACCCCCCTGTTGTTGCTCTGAATGCAACGTTGGTGTTACCTGTTGTGTCTGGATCCCTCCTGATTTCTCCCAGCAGCCTCTCTGCTCAGGGGGGATTAGACATTGTTATCCCAGCCTTCTGATTGGCAGACATAATCCCCCCCCATTCAGCAAAGCTTTGTTACTTCTGGAAGAAAAGGCCACGGTCCGCCGCCTGCATGGCATTACATCTGCAGGAGTATGAATCGATCAAGTGTGTGTGTGTGTGTGTGTGTGTGTGTGTGTGTGTGTGTGGGCGATGCACGACCACACATACACACACACACACACACACACACACACACACACACACACACACACACACACACACACACATTGAGAGTTGACCAGTGGTAACAAAGTGCATTTAATCCAGTACTGCACTTAAGTACTTACTATTCGTCTGTTTGCATCTCACATATTTATCTATAAGTACAATAAGCAGTACTTTATTTCACTGTACTGTGTTTTTTTTGCACATATGTAGTACGTGTACACCTCTAGGCCACCGTACATTTAATAAATCATATATTGTAATGGTTATTAAGGCGTTCCTCACACGGTAAAAGAGGGGTTTGAGTACTTCTTCCACCTCTAGAGTGGACTTTTTTACATTCATACATCGCTTTTCGCGTGCCTAAAAATACAGTTCAAAGCATAACAGCAGAGAAGCATCCCTTCAGGTTCACATCGCCCTCATTGTGCCCTCATTGTGCCCTCATTGTGAATCACAGCAGTCTCTTATTCTGTCCTCACTGTGGCCTTCGTGGCCTCTTCAGTCCTGAACAATAACTGTGATTTCTATTGTCTGCACACTTTGTAATGCTCTTATTTAACAGGATATGTGCATTCATCATCCAGCACAGAGTAATTGCCTATTATGTGTTGGACGAGCTTATTTGTGATTAGCATCTTTGCAGGATTGACTGTATATATTCCCCTTTTTAAAGAGCGTATATGTCGGGTGTAACAATGGAGCGTCACCTCTGTGCTCAGCCTCACTACACCCTCTTTAATACGGGATACAAACCTCTGGGTTTCACTTTCATTGTGTTAGCCAGCTGATCCCTGACATCAGTTTATGAGTCTGTAATCTCCTGCCTCACACAATGGCGGACTAAACCATATAACCCCATCGGGAGGGGGGGAGCTATGATACAGGAGAGGAAGACGCTACAAAAGATTCTCGTCTTGCAAAGCTTCCTTAAGACTTGCCCTGGTTTGGGAGAACACACACACACACACAGAAACACACACACACAGAAACACACACACACAGAAACACACACCCTTCCCCCTCTCCTTTCCCCATCTTTGTCTCTCTGGCGAATTCAATTTTGTCTTCTCCTAGCGAACGGCTTAAAATGCAGACAATCTTATCTGAGCGAGCAGTGATGGGAACGCCACAATGCAAAGACAAACCTTTCAGGAGTCCTTAATTTGTTTCTCGGTTAAAAACACACACACTTTGCACACCTTCCTCACCTCACAAAAGCTTACAGTGGGACAGTGTTGCTCCATGACACCTGGCTGAGGCTTTAATGGAGAGAGGCTGTTGGAAAACACATTGTCTTTTTACAGCAGGGTTGTCAAGAGCTTGCAAATAATATATTACGTTTATTATACGGTTAAATGCCGCTTTACAGAAGCACGTTGCCCATAAACTACATGTCCCACAATGCATCTCTTTGAGTGCAACCATGATGCTGATGTGGCCCGCGATGAAATTGAGTTAAAGGTCTCCTATGATACTGTTTCTCATCAATATATCACAGGTCTCAGATATATCCAGAGCCTGTCTCTGATTGGCTGAAACACCAAACAGATCATTGCAGCATTACCCATAATCCCCTCTGTTTCAGCCCTGTTTCCAAAGTGCTGATTCTCTGTCTGTTACTTCAGATGAAAATAAGGAGCCCCTCCCCACGCCCCTCTGAGAGAGATTTGGTTACAAAGAACTCAATGGTGCTCTAGGAGGAGATTCAGGTGATAAGGTGGGGGGGGGTTACCTTGGTTGCTGATTGGCTAATGGTTACACAAGACAAAACATCGTTATGACATCATCAAGTGGCCAAAATCTGATCAGCTCATTTTCAGACAGGTTTTTATAAAAATGGATCAGGAGAAAAAGAGAGAGAATCTTTGTTCCTGAAACTTTCAGAGTCTCTTTCCACAGAGGGGACACATGTTGATGAAGAAGAGACATGAAGAAGAGGGGACACATGTTGATGAAGAAGAGACATGAAGAAGAGGGGACACATGTTGATGTAGAAGAGACATGGAGAAGTGGATTTTGCATGACCTTAAAGGCTGACCTGGGGTCTGTTTTCTCCCCTCAGTCGTACATGGAGGACCACCTGAAGAACAAGAACCGTCTGGAGCGGGAATGGGAGGCTTTGTGTTCGTATCAGGCCGAACCCGGAGCCTGGAGCGTCGGACACGGAGAGCAGAACTCCAGGAAGAACCGCTCGGACGCCGTGGTCGTATGTGAGTCCAGTTTAATGTCTATTCAGTGGTTTTTGTTGGGGGGTTTCGAAGCCAAAAACAAGGTGTTAAACCCAGAGATTACTCAGTATTTAGCACTTCCTGTCACCTGTTCTGGAAGTCAATGGTTTTCTGAATGTGTTTTTAGCCTGGAATAAAGTCTGTGGTTAAAACTGATGAGGTTTGAAGCAAAAATCTGCAAAATCCTAGCAATACTAACTCAGGTGGGCGGGGCTTAGTTAACTGTCAATTACTTTAAGATTGATTTTGTTTAATAACCCTAAATAAACTCTTACTCTGAGTAATATTCCACTGAAGCTGATTTGAGATGGGCGTAGCCTTGTTGCTAACCCGTAAACTAGCATCACACTGGACAGCCAATGGGGTTAGACTATTGGATTTTGGATGAAACCATTCTAGAAACATATTGACTGTGAGTACTGTCAGTCAAATTGGATCAAACCACTTCTACAGTCTTGATGGAGAAGAGTCTTTGACTGTTTCTCATCATAAATAACACCTTTTAAACTTTGATTTCTGGTCATTTAGTCACAAAAAACATTTGCAGCCAAGATTTAGGGTCTTTTACTTTAAAGCAAATGTGTTGAAGAAGACTACTGAGTCTCAAACAGATTATCTTTGTTTTGAAAAAAGAGGATTTTCCAGCTTCTCAAGATGCGATATTTGTGATTATTTCCCCTCCGTATTGAAGGTGGAGCAGACTTCATATCAGTTGTTTAATGCATGATGAAAGTCTGGTGAAATTGAAGAGCCTGCAGCCGATCCTCTCGTTTCCTCCGCTTGCTGTTATTGTGTTCAGACGAGAGGAATATTGGTTCATAAATAATGCATGTCCTCTCACAGATGACCACTCCAGGATCACGTTGAAGTCGGAGAATAACCACGGGAACTCAGATTACATCAACGCCAGTCCCATAGTGAGTATAATACAGCTTTAATTATAATATCTGTCGTCAACAAGGCTTTTATTTTTGTAATCCCCACAGTATTGAGTTGGTAAAAGCGTCTAACAAGTGACATGTAATCTAATCTGATAATAGAAGTCATTTGAATTCAAGCGTTCCTCAAAAAAACGTCTGCATTTAAAGCTCCCATGTCATGCTTTTCCGGTTATTACCCGTCCCCTTGTGTTATGTAAACGGTCTGCAGAGTCACAAACCCTCAAAGTACACCCTGTAGCGAGTAAAACTCTAACACAGAGAAGACCTGTCTATGCTGCCCCAGAACGCCTCGTTGGACATTTCTCTTTTTCCATTGTTTACTTCTTGGGTATAGTGACGTATTTCGGGTATAGTGACGTTACGTAACGGCTCCGCAGATTGGTCCAAATTAACCAATTACGTTACGTCCGTGGAGCCGTTACGTTTGGACCAATCTGTGGACTTCCTCACACACACACACTCGGCGGGACGTTGCGAGGCTCGCTGCTGCGAGGAGCGGGACACTGTGAGCTGGCTCACTGGTGTGGGGTCGGCGAGACACCGCGGAACTCAGCCTGAGCACACACACAAAGTCCCAGCCAGGCTGCGGGTGTGTGTGTGTGTGTGTGTTTGGGGCTGGGTTTCGCTGTGTCTCACTGTCTCGCAGACGGCCACTGGGCTCACAGGGAGGGAGGGGGCAGGAGCTCCAACAAGCCGTGTAGGACAGAGAGTGAATACACATACTATACAGAGATGCTGTATGAGAAACCAATGTGAGTTTGGAACATTGAACAATATAAATATATTTTAGTAGACCTCAACAATGGAATTATGATCAGTAGAAATGGCCATGACATGGGACCTTTAAGGGAAAAACACACACAAAAACAGCTTCAACACAACATCAGAAAAAGGCACAAACTCAGGGCATTATAGAATTTACGTAGATATTCGTGGATTCGTCACGTTTTTATTATTTTTGCAGAGTATAATAGATTTTATTATAAAGCACCATGTCATTGAAGAACATAATCAATAATCATGGTGCTCAAAGATCCCTGACACGCAAATATAGACGATAATAACAACATAAATAAATGACACTGTATAAAACATTTTTTTAAATATAGAAAAAGGGAGAACATTTCAAATGTTTGCCGTTAAGATCAAATTATTATTTCCAAATGAAAAGATGTCTGCATTTGAAGGCAGGATTGTATAGATTGATTGTGCTGTAGATACCCCCGTCTTCTATCAGCAATATAAAGAATTATATATATCTCTCTTTGGGACTAAACAAATGCGTCGCACCTTTAAGTCCACAGAGGCCTACACATTTTATTTATTTATTTATTTCCCTCCAAACACTGCCAGTCCTGATTTCCCTGGAGGCTGCAGAGGGATTCCATCAAAGGGAACAGGAAGCTATGCATTTCAAATACTCTGCCAATTCTTTTCTGAGGAGATAAACGAGGGGGTGCGAAAAACAGCTGCACCCCGAAGCCCATTACTCTCCAGAAACCAACACCTCCATCTCCTGCCTGAAACATTCGCCATTTTACAGCGCAAAATATTTTAATAAAGCCGATCAATCAGAGCGGGAAAAGAGGGTTATAAAATAAAGAATGTGAGGGTGGAGGGTGGAGGGAAGGACAGTAATTATCCCACAAAAGAGAGGCAGCAAAACTGTGATAATTACCTCCGTCGAAACAGCCCCTTCCTCCTCATTAGCTTCAGCCGACAAGGAACATATCTGAGGGTCTTTTTCTGGGGGTTAGAGGTCGAAGAGAGACAAAGACACACACACACACACACAGACACACACACAGAGACACACACACACACACACACACACACACACACACACACACACACACACACACACACACACAACACACACACACACACACACACACACACACACACACACACAAACACACACACACACACACACACAGAGAGAGAGAGACACTACATACTGATATACACCTGAACATCAGCAGGAGAGGACTCTTTAAAGTAGAGACACTACATTCTGATATACACCTGAACATCAGCAGGAGAGGACTCTTTAAAGTAGAGACACTACATACTGATATACACCTGAACATCAGCAGGAGAGGACTCTTTAAAGTAGAGACACTACATACTGATATACACCTGAACATCAGCAGGAGAGGACTCTTTAAAGTAGAGACACTACATACTGATATACACCTGAACATCAGCAGGAGAGGACTCTTTAAAGTAGAGACACTACATTCTGATATACACCTGAACATCAGCAGGAGAGGACTCTTTAAAGTAGAGACACTACATACTGATATACACCTGAACATCAGCAGGAGAGGACTCTTTAAAGTAGAGACACTACATACTGATATACACCTGAACATCAGCAGGAGAGGACTCTTTAAAGTAGAGACTCTACATACTGATATACACCTGAACATCAGCAGGAGAGGACTCTTTAAAGTAGAGACACTACATACTGATATACACCTGAACATCAGCAGGAGAGGACTCTTTAAAGTAGAGACACTACATACTGATATACACCTGAACATCAGCAGGAGAGGACTCTTTAAAGTAGAGACACTACATACTGATATACACCTGAACATCAGCAGGAGAGGACTCTTTAAAGTAGAGACACTACATACTGATATACACCTGAACATCAGCAGGAGAGGACTCTTTAAAGTAGAGACACTACATACTGATATACACCTGAACATCAGCAGGAGAGGACTCTTTAAAGTAGAGACTCTACATACTGATATACACCTGAACATCAGCAGGAGAGGACTCTTTAAAGTAGAGACACTACATACTGATATACACCTGAACATCAGCAGGAGAGGAACTCTTTAAAGTGGAGACACTTGGTTTGTTGACTCTTCACTACCTCTTGAACTATCTCCATATCTGTCGCTCTCTCCAACATGTGAGCTTCAGGCTGTTTCTGTGAGGCGTTCAGGAGCCACATAATGACGTCGGGGACTTAGATTTGAAGGATGTGATTGAGACTTGATTGAGTGTGTGTTGGCCTCACATTAACCTGAATGCAGTTTTTATGCACAGCCTGGAGATGCATCCGAGATGTTGATGTTTCACAGGGAGTCATTTTTAATGTTGATGTATGGTTGGTTTTATCACGATAGACGACACACTGCTTTACTGGAGGTGTGGGGGTGCATTAGATGTTATTTATGGTACAGCAGGAAAGCCCCCGGGTCGTATATATTTTACAAACTGGACCCAAACGTGAGCTCAGAAGTTGAAAATCTGTTTTTTAATCTAATTTCTCTGTGTTTTTCTTCGACACTCTGCAAGGAGATAATGAGAGAGCTTTACGTCACTGCTTTAATATTTCCATAATCTCAACAACAGGATTACTTCCTAATGCTCCGATAAAACCGACTGTTGTCCGACTTGTTTATTTTAATAACAAGTCGGGAACAATACTGCGGCTCTGAGGTTGAATATCATCGAAAGAACTGTTTCATTTTGCAGCTTTTTTTAGGAACGTTTACCAGTGAAATACTCACGGGAACAAGGAGATTTTAACCTCTGCAGACCATTTACATGCACTAACATCTAATGAGCACACTACAACCCCATAAAGAAGCAGAACAGTGTCTCTTTAAAACACAACAGCTGTCAGAAATGTTCATATTTGAGACATCGCACACAAAAAGGAAGCTTTTTCTTCCCCGTTCTTCTTCAATTAGGTACCATGGAGTTTAATGTTCTCTTCATGCTTCCTGGTTCAATCTCCTCTGGTGGGTTTTCTTTTAATAATGAATGTTAGCGCAAATCTCAAGGACACAGACATGCTGTCGCTGCATGAATACTAAAGCGAGACATGAAAGAGAAGTCCTCCTCTGTGGGGAGAAGACAGACTGGGACAAAGAGGCATGAAGTGGTTAGAAGCAAAAGAGCTTGTAGTTAAATATCCTTCACAAATATCTGGTCTCGCTTTGAATACTTTGCTGTGAGGCGTGGGGAGTAACAGATTACATGAACAGGAGTAATCAGGTTACAAAGAAACGACAGTTACATACATAGATTAGGGGATTAGAAGATGATAAGAACATGATATAAGAAGTGTAACCCTCCCAATCCTGGCTTTAAGATAATGAATATTAAGTTATTGAAGGTAATAGCAATCAAGTTGTATTTTATAATAGGGGTTAAATCGTTGGAAACTTTCATGTGATTTCATTTTTTTTATGTTTGAAGAGACTCATATCTAACATTTCTTTACAAATTAGGACGTGTTTTAGCATATCTAAGGTATGGCAAGACAAAACATTTCAACACAAGGCTTTACAAATAATGAAAAGGCATTGAGATATACTGTAGTGCAGCAGAAACACATTATACAATGACATTGAAATGTGTTTAAAAACAGCCATGAGAATAAAATCAACATTAAAACCAGTTAAAATAGACAGGTTTACAATACAAGAATAAAAGTGAGTCCAATCAGACCTCTTTGAAAGGAAGTAAGGAATGCAGACGACACGTTCAGAGAATCAATGAATGCTGTCGTTTTTTCGGCTTTCATGGCCGTAATTTACCCAGAAATTGAAGCTTCAATCCCCCCAAACTCTGCCCCGGACACACCAAGACGATTTTGGCCGTCGGTGGGCGTCAGGCCGACGATGAGCGTCCTGTCGCCCTACTCAGATTGGTGTGTCCCGCACCGTCGTGTCTTTACGGCCGTGCCAACACCTTTTTGGCCGATTGCCTATCGATTCTACATGTCGAATCTGAAGTCTTTGCGGTGTGTTCCAGTGCGACTGTTGGCCAAGACGCGAGGCGACACAACAGTCGGGTCCCTCAGTTCTTTGGTGTCAGCTTGGTGTGTCCCGACCTTCAAACTCTGCTCTCTCTCTTCCAGATGGACCATGACCCTCGAAACCCGACGTACATCTCCTCCCAAGGCCCTCTTCTCTCCACCGTGGCCGACTTCTGGCAGGTAACACCATCTCTAGACTTTTTATTGTTTTATATTTAGCTTATTGATCCAAACTAATGTGCATCTCAGCTGTTACTGTTTCATACTTTCTTAGAACATAATAAACATGGATGTATAAAGAAAGCTAGAGCTCTGGAGGTGTGGCAGATTGCTCAGGGGCGCAAGGAACTCTCGAGAACAAATATATATATGTTTTTTAATCTTTGTATTTTTTGTTATTATTTTATAAAAAATTCCAATTAATTTAATTTAGTTTTTATGGATTTTTTTGTATTTTATAATATTTTTAAATATAATATGTTATTGTCATTTTTAAAGTTTTATTTACATCCTATTTCCTTCATTTTTGGGAGCCTAGTAACTGTTTACGTCATGAAAAAACACGTTCTTAACTAGCTGAACATGCTAATACACCTTTAATCACTACCTTCTTTGCTACATATTAAACCATCCAATACTATATTTAAATACCTAAAACAATGAGTGTGTTGACGGGACATTAATTGACATTTTGGGGTATTTTCCTGAATATTTTACGTAAAAATGCAGTATTTTTTGTGCCAAGGATCTGAATACTTACTATCCAAACCCCTTACCAGACTAAATGGGTAATACACCTCCAAATATACCAGTATCTGGGCCCATTGACCATTTCACTTCAGCCTACCCCAAATGATTGAGCCTCCAATCATTAGTTTCAAGCCCCATCTTACCTCAATGAATGGAGAGGTGAAACAACGTTTACGACCTTAGATTAAAATAATACCCTCGTTTTCGTACAAATAATCATCTGCTGATTTACACTCGTCTCTTTCCCCGATGTAAGTCAATGGGAACGAGTCTTTTTGGGACGTCGCAGAAGTTGTAGTACCACCGTTTGGCCACTACGCACATTTGTGAAAAGACAAATAATTGTATTCTTGGCGCTGTAACGTGATCATAATGCATCAGAGTGGTGCTTTCTGGTTGTAAATATACGTCTCATCACACACACCTCCAAGAAGTCGACTTATATTCATAATAATGCTAATGTTTGCCCATATTTGCACCCCTCCCCTTGTCCATAAATGTCACACGGACCTGCCGTTAATCACTGCATATCGGCGGTTGTAAAACATGTCGTTTCGTCTGGGGCTTCGCCTTAAATGATGCATGGTCTCCAAATGGCGTTTTCACGTGTTAATAGGACAGCACTGTGGTCATTAGAGCGTCGTTTGGCTCCATATGGGGACGTTACTGAATGCTTATTTATATTCAAACATGATGACGTTTGGAACAAGGGAAATGTCCATATGCTTATATCTGCTTAGAGAGAAAGATACTACGGTAGAGAAAGATACTACGGTAGAGAGAAAGACACTACGGTTCTGAGGTTGAATATCATTCGAAAATACTGAGAACTGTTTCATTTTGCAGCATTATTTTGGAACATTTTGCAGTGAAATACTCACAATTTCCCCCAGGAACAGCTTTAATCAAAGAGATTTTAGCCTTTGTAGACCATTTACATGCACTAACACCTACACGAGAGGGAACACCCCAGAGAAAAGCAGATTAGAGCCTCTTTGATACAAAACAGCGGTCAGACAAAAGGAAACGGCGCCCTGTTTCCTGTATTTAGTTTATTAATGTGTGTTTCTGCGAGGTGATATAATGCAAATCCATTAACTAATAACACAACCTTCCCAATTAAGCAGAATATAGAGACAGGCACAATGAACCAGGAAGAAACTATTCATTATTCCACACGGTAAACACTGGGTTGTTGCAGCTCTCTCTCTCTCCCATTAAAAGTAAACAAACAGGGGAACACTGTCCTGAAAATGGCCTGTTTCCATCCTCTCTAATCCACTGCAGCGCCGACACATAATCCTCCAAACACCTTCCCTACATCCCGTCAATATAATGAGAGAAGCTCTGGGAATATCAGAGGAAAACTCAGTGGACATTTTAAGCAGAAAGCAGGAGCCTAGAAACTGTTAAAAAATACATTCTTAACTATCTGAAGATGCAAATACACCTTTTATCCCTACCTTCTTTTATATATATTAAACCATCCAATACTATATTTAAATACTTTAAACAATGAGAGTGTTGACGGGACATTAATTGGCATTTTTGGGGGGTTTTTTGGTCATTTTTCCTGAATATCTTTCGTAAAAATGCCGTATTTTTAGTACCTTTTCTCAAGTTAAGGGTCTGAATACTTCTTCCACCACTATGCAAACCCCTTTCCAGACTAAATGGGTAATACTCCTCCACATTAACTCTAAACACGTTCTTAACTATCTGAATTTTTTTATTGAAATACCTGAAACAATGAGTGTGTTGACGGGACATTAATTGGCATTTTTTTGTACATTTTTGTAATTTTTCCTGAATATTTTACGTAAAACTGCCGTATTCTTTTCACCTTTTCTCACATCAAAGATCTGAATACTTCTTCCATCACTATCCAAACCCCTTTCAAAACTAAATGGGTAATACTCCCCCACATTAACTCTAAACACGCAAAAACACCTTTTATCCCTACCTTCTTTTATATATATTAAACCATCCAATATTATATTTAAATACCTAAAACAATGAGAGTGTTGACGGGACATTAATTGGCATTTTTGGGGGTTTTTTGGTCATTTTTCCTTAATATATTTAGTAAAACTGCCGTATTTTTAGTACCTTTTCTCAAGTCAAGGGTCTGAATACTTCTTCCAGCACTAGCCAAACCCTTTACAAGACCAAATGGGTAATACTCCTCCACATTAACTCTAAACACGTTCTTAACTATCTGATGTATTTATTTAAATACTTGAAACAATGAGTGGGACATTAATTGGCATTTTTGGGGGTTTTTTGGTCATTTTTCCTGAATATATTTCGTAAAAATGACGTATTTTTAGTACCTTTTCTCACGTCAAGGGTCTGACTACTTCTATCCAAACTCTTTACCAGACTAAATGGGTAATACTCCCCCACATTAACTCTAATCTCATCACACAGTCGGTGTAATGCGCCACTGGGCCGGATCACAGACGCTCACGATTAGTGTATAGTGGAGGCCATTGTGTTTTTATAGCAATCATAAAAGCCACGTTTCCTCCTCATTCTCCTAATGGCTGCCGAGGGCCCGTCTTCCTCCCCGTTAGATTACGATGAGATGAAATGAAGCTGTTGTGATTTCACTCAGACGTCAAGCGTCCATCATGTGTCTCACGCTGAGCGCCGACATTTATTCAGACTGAGGAAATCAATTTAACTTTAATGCAAGAAAATGAAGTCGTGCTACATGCTTCTGCTAGTGACCAGGCTTTATACCCATCAACAAAGACAGATTACTGGTATATTACTTTTAATAAATGGGGATTACTAGCAGTGTGTGAGTTTAACTGTGTGTATTAAACAAACAATTGAGTATTTTCTCTCAGCTCAGATGTTATTTCTGCTTTTTTAAACTGTGTGTGTGCTCATGTGTTTCACTGTTAGTCTACTGCCTGAATATGCTTCATGAAAAGCAGGTTTTCCTATAAAATCATGGTCACATTGTTCTGTTGTCTTACATAATACACTTCAGTAAACAACATTTGTTTACTTTCAGATGGTGTGGGAGAGTGGTTGTGTTGTCGTCGTCATGTTGACCCCACTCTCTGAAAATGGGGTGAAGCAGTGCCATCCCTACTGGCCTGACGAGGGATCGGACGTCTACCACGTCTACGAGGTAACGCTTGGATTCTGTACATTTTAAAGAGGACCTATCTCTGCTTTTTCCTCTCCTGTAGTGTGTTCTATAGGTTTTAGTGCATGTAAACGGTCTGCAAAGGCTCAAATCCTTGTGTAGTTAACTTCTGGAACATATTGTCGGATGTCTACCACATCTACGAGGTAAAGATTGGATTCTGTATATTTTAAAGAGGACCTATCTCTGCTTTTTCCTCTCTTGTAGTGTGTTTTACAGGTTTTAGTGCATGTAAATGGTCTGCAAAGGCTAGAATCCTCGTGTAGTTAACTTCTGGAACATATTGTCGGATGTCTACCACATCTACCTCAGTGAGAGATCAGAAGGAGTTGCAAAGCTTATATTTTAACATTTTAAAGAGGCCTTATTCTGCTTTTTGTGGGGTTTCCTTCCCTGTAGTGTGATATAAGTTTGAGTGCATGTAAATGGTCTGCAGAGACTCAAATCCTTGTGTAGTTTACTTCTGGAACATAGTGTCGGATGTCAGTGAGAGAGGGAGTTGCAAAGCTTAGATTTTAACATTTGAAAGAGGTCCTATTCTGCTTTTTGGGGTTTTCCCTCTCTATAGGTTTTAGTGCATGTAAATGGTCTGCAGAGGCTCAAATCTCTGTGTGATTCCTTTGTTTACTTCCCAAAACAACGTGACATCCCTATCACCTTTAGTTTTGTGTAGATGCTTATCTTGAAGTTTATTCTTGCAGGTTTTTATCAAATCTATTTGCATATCCGGATACCAACATACTAAGACTTGTCTCTTCTTAATAATAATAATAATAATAATAGATTACATTTGTGTAGCTTTCAAGGGACCCAAGGCCGCTTTACATGGTGAACAAACAAACAAACAAGAAGGGCATCTTGGCATCTTCTTGGCTATTTCCCTACGTTTTATCGTGATTGTTGCATCGTTTGAAAATAAATCTTTCACTAAATCTTTATATTTCCAGGTGAACTTGGTGTCGGAGCACATCTGGTGCGAGGACTTCCTGGTGCGCAGCTTCTATCTGAAAAACCTGCAGACCAACGAGACTCGCACCGTCACGCAGTTCCACTTCCTGTCCTGGATGGACCGCGGGATCCCAAACTCAGCCCGGACCCTTCTAGACTTCCGCAGGTAAAATGGAGACCCTCATTGGTGTTTACTCGTGTCACTCAAACTAGACGAGGAGGCGGGGCTTTTCTCACCATGTAGATACCAGGGTTCTTACGGTCATTAAAAACCTGGAAAAGTCATGGAAATTCAAAATGCTAATTCCAGGCCCTGGAAAAGTCATGGAAAACAATATTCTTCCCAAAGTTTGGGAAAAGTCATGGAAATGTAACTAAAGTTGCATCAAATATAATTTATATTTTTTCTAATCGCCGAAATAGTAATACTATAATGATAATAAATACTGTATGGTATAGTAATGAAACGTAAAATGGCTTTTAACTGACGAGGTGTTTTGCCGGTGAGAGATTTTAGTAGAAGCTAGTCAGCCTATTGGATTTGTTTTAGATAGGCACAACATGTTTCATATGCAGACCTTATTTTCCTGTTCCATGTTAAAATAAACCATTTTCAGTGGTACCGCTGAGAAAGAGTCATTTTTTTGGTCATGGAAAATTAGGTAAAGGTCATGGAGAAGTCATGGAAAAGTAATTGAAAATCATTGGTGAAAAAGTGTATGAACCCTGAGATACCAACAACAATAAAATGAACACATTATACCGTGATTTAATTGTGATGCATGTCTCAGGCTCGGCTAAGCTAACATGTAGCTGCTCTGTCCACACTCACAACAACGTCATACAGACAGAAATAAAGCAGAGACTGTGTCCGGCACAGACAGTGTGGGGTTTGTACGTGTATAAACTCTGATGTTTCTCTAGTTTCTGAACAGATATGAGGAACTGTGAGCTCTGTGTGCTAACAGCTAACAGCTAACAGCTAACAGCTAACGGCCGCTGTTTGGTTTCCTGAGTCAACAATGACGACAGGCTGATGAATGATCTCACCGCTGATTGGCTTTAATTCATCTCTTCAGTTGAACATTTTTTAACTGACTATCCGCATCTTTGCATAGAGAGGCGAAGTCCCGCCCATCTACTTCCAACCCATGGGACCTTATTTCGGAAAAATTATGCATTGAAGTCAATGGGGAGAGAAAGATTATCTTTCGATCCCGTTTGAATTGTGCCACAAATTACTTCTGTCAATCTTAAATAATAATTTCCATGTCAAAAAAGTCACAGTTTGTCGTAAAACTGTTGAAATATAAGACTATGAAAAATACGCGACTAGAAAGACTACAAATCCCAGAGTCCCGGTCCCGCATGCTGGCTCTTAGGAACCGACTCACTCCCCTTGTGTGTATGTACAGCTCTCAACACGCCCAGACTTGGAGTGATTTTCACCTCTTTTAATACTTTCCGCCTCATTCTGAAAGAAAGAAGTGAAATGTGCCAACGTGACGGCCGTCTGGGTGTGTGGTGCGAGACGGGAGATGGAGTTCATTGAGCGCTTTCACACAAAAAACAAAGTGTTACTTCACAGTTTTACGAGACATTATTATTTTTTTGACTTGCAGAATTATCTTTTAAATTGACAAACATCATATGTGTAATTCGTGGCACAATTCAAACGGGATCGAAAGATAATCTTTCTCTCTCCATTGACTTCAATACATGCTTTTTCTGAAATAAGGTCCCATGGAGCTCCCCGGAAAGGGAGGGACTTCGCCTCTCTATTGACTTTACATGCAAAAAAAATCCTCTTCGAATGGTGCGTTCACACCGCGGCATCATTGGTGTTTACTCGCGTCACTCAAACTTGACGAGGAGGCGGGGCTTACCTCACCATGTAGATACCAACAACAACAATATTAACATATTACGACATGCAGAAAATATGCTTTTCCTCCGCTGTGAACGCACTTTAAGACCCTGAAGATCTCCACCTGAAAAATCCTGTTTTAATCTCCTCCTTGTATTCTGTTTTCTGTCTGCACCCTCTTTTTTTGCCCCTCTGCTTTTTTGGGTGTCCCGGTTGTTCTCTGATCAGGTTTCTGTGCTATCCCTTTCATCCCCGGCCTATTTTGTTCACCTCCCTCCAGAACATGTGATGCAGCAAATTAACCGCCCCGCACTGCTTGGCCTGGCTTGGGAAGAAAATAATATAAAACGCTAATTCAGACAGCCAATTAAATGAGAAGCCTGTCTCGCAAAATAAAGAACGCCAGTGACTGAATAACCTCGCTGTGTTCTCCATGTAATGTGTTCTGGCAGAAGAGCAGCAATAGGTCCTCTGGGAGAACCAGGAGGGAAAGGAAAAGCCTGCAAATGAGGACAATTCAGAGTCGATGCATCTGATTGGTGGACGGGTGTCTGTCCCTTATTTGTGATGCAGATGAGGGCAAAGGAAAGGATGCTGTCATGTCATGCAGTTTTTAAATGTAACTGGGTGTGCATATCTGTGATATCGAATGAAGAAAAGTTTGTTTATTTGATTTCATTTTTAAACCCTAACTCAAAGGTTGCATGTAAACAAAACACTGTGCGTGAGAAAATGGGTTTTTCTGCACAAAAAACTAATTCTTTCTATTTTTATTTTATCTTTCCTTCTTTATATCGCATTTTTTTATTCATGTATCTTATAGATAAATAAAACATAAATATTTATTTATTTAAATGTTAGTATCAAATGCGAGAATGATAATATATTTTTATTTTTACGTCTTTTTTATTTATTTCAGATTTATTTGAAAATATTTTTCCCTTAACTGTATTATATTTATTTATTTTTCCATTTATATATATATATGTTTTACATTAATATATATATATAAATATGATAAAAATATCTATTTATTTTACTTTTGGTATCCTCTTTTACAAACGAGTCAATGAGAATCAAAGAAGTCTTGATGTTTTTGAGGATGCTAAAGCCACACCTCCAGCTTATCCTGCAGGTGTGGGTGCGCAGGTTCGAGCAAGTTCTCCTTCGCTATTGGCTGTCATTATGTAGTGTAGGTGTTGTTCTCCTTCGCTATTGGCTGTCATTATGTGGTGTAGGTGTTGTTCTCCTTCGCTATTGGCTGTCATTATATGGTGTAGGTGTTGATCTCCTTCGCTATTGGCTGTCATTATGTGGTGTAGGTGTTGTTCTCCTTCGCTATTGGCTGTCATTATATGGTGTAGGTGTTGATCTCCTTCGCTATTGGCTGTCATTATGTGGTGTAGGTGTTGTTCTGCTTTGCTATTGGCTGTCATTATATGGTGTAGGTGTTGTTCTCCTTTGCTATTGGCTGTCATTATATGGTGTAGGTGTTGATCTCCTTCGCTATTGGCTGTCATTATATGGTGTAGGTGTGGTTCTCCTTCGCTATTGGCTGTCATTATATGGTGTAGGTGTGGTTCTCCTTCGCTATTGGCTGTCATTATATGGTGTAGGTGTTGTTCTCCTTCGCTATTGGCTGTCATTATGTGGTGTAGGTGTTGGGAATCTAAAGCTCTGACTTTACTCCTCAGAACTCTCAGAACCTCTCGGTGTTTCTCTCGGTCTTGCGGTTGCCAGTGTCATTTTTGTGATGCTGCAGCTCGTAATATGAGCCCAGTTGCATAGTCACAAAAGTGATCATTGGAAACTGTGTCTCCTCAGCCAGGCCTGTGCACCTCCTGCTCTTCCTCCTGCTCCTCCTCTTCCTCCTCCTCATCCTCACTGCTCCTCCCTCTTGATTGCATGGGAACTCCAACCAGCTCTGCATGGTTAGAACATTATAAAAAAGGTGGCTGAAAGGTAAAAAAAACTCGCTGTCTCGCTGTAGTCAGTTTCCATGGCAACAGAAGGTGGTGGGGGTTGGGTGTGTGAAAAAGGCTCGTTGGCCTTCACTGTGTCTGTGGTGTAAAACATCCCATAATAAGCCGAGGGTTAGTGGCAACCATCACAGTGTTACTTTAAGAGGTTTGATTGACAGGAGGCAGGTTTGCTCTTTTGATGAGTCACACAGTATGTAGTGTCTCTACTTTAAAGAGTCCTCGTTAGCAGCCTTCATGCTCACAATGCTCACCATAACATCCACTTTTCTCTTTTTCTATTGCAGGAAGGTTAACAAGTGCTACCGGGGTCGATCCTGCCCGATTATTGTTCACTGCAGGCAAGTATTCACTTTAAAGAGTCCTCTCCTGCTGATGTTCAGGTGTATATCAGTATGTAGTGTCTCTACTTTAAAGAGTCCTCTCCTGCTGATGTTCAGGTGTATATCAGTATGTAGTGTCTCTACTTTAAAGAGTCCTCTCCTGCTGATGTTCAGGTGTATATCAGTATGTAGTGTCTCTACTTTAAAGAGTCCTCTCCTGCTGATGTTCAGGTGTATATCAGTATGTAGTGTCTCTACTTTAAAGAGTCCTCTCCTGCTGATGTTCAGGTGTATATCAGTATGTAGTGTCTCTACTTTAAAGAGTCCTCTCCTGCTGATGTTCAGGTGTATATCAGTATGTAGTGTCTCTACTTTAAAGAGTCCTCTCCTGCTGATGTTCAGGTGTATATCAGTATGTAGTGTCTCTACTTTAAAGAGTCCTCTCCTGCTGATGTTCAGGTGTATATCAGTATGTAGTGTCTACTTTAAAGAGTCCTCTCCTGCTGATGTTCAGGTGTATATCAGTATGTAGTGTCTCTACTTTAAAGAGTCCTCTCCTGCTGATGTTCAGGCGTATATCAGTATGTAGTGTCTCTACTTTAAAGAGTCCTCTCCTGCTGATGTTCAGGTGTATATCAGTATGTAGTGTCTCTTCTTTAAAGAGTCCTCTCCTGCTGATGTTCAGGTGTATATCAGTGTGTAGTGTCTCTACTTTAAAGAGTCCTCTCCTGCTGATGTTCAGGTGTATATCAGTATGTAGTGTCTCTACTTTAAAGAGTCCTCTCCTGCTGATGTTCAGGTGTATATCAGTATGTAGTGTCTCTACTTTAAAGAGTCCTCTCCTGCTGATGTTCAGGTGTATATCAGTATGTAGTGTCTCTACTTTAAAGAGTCCTCTCCTGCTGATCTTCAGGTGTATATCAGTGTGTAGTGTCTCTACTTTAAAGAGTCCTCTCTCGAACAGGAAAGGGAAAAAATCGGCCTTAAAACCCATTAATCCAGTTTTCTCTATTCCTCTTATTTGAATGGAAATGATTCGACCCCACAAACTCTTCCCTTTTGGTCGAGTTAGTTAACCAGGTATCTGTCGGACATTTTTTAATGGTCACATCCTTCTTCATGCATGAGTGGATCTGCAGTGCATTAATGAAGCAGCGGTGCTCCTTTTTTATTGGCCTTGCCTTTTATTAGAGAGACGTGCACGCCTTGTTTGCAATTAGCATGCAGAGCGGCTGAATGGCCGGCGGCACAAAGGGAGGCTTTTCACCAGACTATCTCTGGAGAAATGGAAAAGCAAGGCTCTCCACAAGCTCTCTCTTTTCTCTCCAGCCTCTCCACCTCTCCTCTGCTCCTGAGGTGCATTCATTTAAAAAGCCTTTGTCCCCGGTGCGCCTCACAAACCCTTCCCCTCTCCCCCAAAAACCCCCAGACCACACATGCATCTCATTTATCAGAGCGTCAAATATTCAAGATGGCAAAAGTACACACATGCTTTACTCAAGTAGAAGTACAGATACTTAAAAATACTCTGGTGAAAGTAGAAGTACTGACTAAACTTCTTTACTCAAGTAAAAGTAAAGAGGCTTTGAAGTGTACTTAAGTAAAAAGTACCCATAACTAGCAGCTGTTTTAAAGAGTACCTGACTGATTTGTGTTCAACATGTAAAAAGTCATCAGTGGAGTAAAGTACTGATACCAGAAACATGTACTGACCGAAGTATTTGTACTCCAATACTTCCCACCTCTGTTCAGGAGAATGTGAAGGATGACTCTGGAAAGTATATTTGTCTCATTTCTAGTCTTCTTGGCGGGCATGGACTCATTTGTGCTCCTCTCTCAGCAGATGTAAATGTCTCCATATGAATCCACTTTATTGATCTCCTTCCTCTCTCTACAGCGACGGAGCCGGCAGAAGTGGAACCTACATCCTGATCGACATGGTGCTCAACAGGATGGCTAAAGGTAAACATCAATTAAACTCAAATGTAAGCTTTATTGGCATGAACATTAACGACATACAGGATTACCAAAGAATGGCACAATTACGACATCTATAGGTGTGATCTCTGCTCTTTCAAATCAAGGTTCAAGGTTCTTTATTGTCAATCTGACATAGCTACAGAGTAATTATGCAGTTGAAAATCTTATGTCACAGGCTTCTCCAACAATGCAACATAATAACATAACATAATAACAATAAGAGCAAGAGCAATACAAAAATAATAATAGTTATAAAAATGAAATAAAGTTATGATGTGGAATAGTGCAGTATGAGTCTATATACAAGTTATTGGAATGATATATCACATCACATCACATCACACTGTACAGACAGACAGACAGACAGACAGACAGACAGACAGACAGACATACAGACATACAGACGGACGGACAGACAGACAGACAGACGGACGGACTGGTAGATAGATAGACAGACAGACAGACAGACAGACAGACAGACAGACAGACGGACAGACAGACAGACAGACAGACAGATAGACAGACAGACGGACAGACGGACAGACAGATAGACAGACAGACAGACAGACAGACAGACAGACGAACAGACGAACAGACGAACAGTTAGACGGACAGACAGATAGACAGACAGACGGACAGACAGACGGACAGACAGACAGACAGACAGACAGATAGACAGACAGACGGACAGACGGACAGACAGATAGACAGACAGACGGACAGACAGACAGACAGACAGACAGACAGACAGACAGACAGACAGACGAACAGACGAACAGATAGACGGACAGACGGATAGACAGACAGACAGATAGACGGACAGACAGACAGACAGACGGACAGACGGACAGACGGACAGACGGACAGACGGACAGACAGACAGACAGACAGAGAGACAGACAGATAGACAGATAGACGGATAGATAACATTCCCCAAATTAGGATCAATAAAGTACTTCTTATCTTATCTTACCTTATCTTTTTCGGTCGCCATGTTTTCTTCCTCTCTCTCTCTCTGAGTCGCGTTAAGAAGTTTCCCCGGCAACAGGAAAACCTCTCGTTGTGCACCGAGGGTTTGGGGGAAGCATTAGAGTGTGACACCTCCTGACGGACAGACAAAGAGAGGAGGAGGAGGAGGAAGATGAGAAAGCACATCATTAATCGTCTCTTTGATCCTTTTCTTTGGTCACGCCGTGTCGACTTTCAGAAAAACACGCGTTTAGATTTAGGCGTGTTTAAGAGGTTGATTTTAACTTTATTTTCCCTTTTCTTAAACAACACATACAGTCGAAGACAAACAGGTGTGCAGGTTGTCCATCCGTGTTATTAATGTCATGAATAGATTGGATTGACTTTATTCGGAAATTCAAATATACCCTTAGTTTGAAGCACCTCTTTTCACCCTCTGTCTCAAACCAGAGCTGCTCTGATTGGTTAACTGGCCATCTCTGTTGTGACTGGTCAACTAGCTTAGAGATGTCCCCCCCCTTTAGCCAATAGGAGCGGGAGTTTTCCATATTGATGTCACTGTGTTCTGGAAATGTGGGATTTGATCCTTTGCAGACCATTTACATGCACAGAAAACCTATAGAACACACCCTAAACAGAACATTAGGGTGTTCTTTACAGAGGGGATGATGTGACAGATACCCCTGGGACAGATTTTGAAGTATCTGTGTCTAACATCTAGTCACAATATGTCTCTCCACCTGATATAAGACACAATAACTTCAGAAGTAACACTGCAGTGAGGCTCTGCAGTGAGGCTCTTGTTTTTAGACAAAGCATCATCTTGTTAAGTCAAATGATCTTATTTTGAGATGAAACACATATTTATTTATTAGGAAATCACCAACTAACATCAGGAAACTAAAACGTTTGAGCATGAGAGGCTCATTCTGTAACAACATCTCCTGATTCTGGTGAAATATAGTTCAAAGTGAGATAATTACAAGATGTGATTTATCTAAATACCCCTTCTTACTTCAAGACATCTCACCAAGCTGATGTTCACTTGTTCTATTGGCAGATTTTTGGACTTATTTCAAGAGAAAACCGCTTTTTTTTCATTATAGTTTTGTAGCATTTTTCCCGTGTGTTCTTGATATTTTGCGAACACCTAACGATATGCACATCTATTGTTGCTGCGTCACCTTAAAACCCTCTGTAGCTTATCTGCCCTCTGCCCTCTGACCTCATGAGGTCATCAGAACTGTGTACAGATGTCCCTTTCTGTAAAACAGCGATGGAGGTCAGCGGGATGAAAGGTGCCCCTTTAACCTTTCTGCAGAACCCAAAGTTTGAAACGAAGGTAATCTCCGTCTGCAAAGCCTTTCCTCTCTTTGTTGTCCGAGCCTCTCCTCGGCTTAGCTCGGGGGGGGATCCAGACTCTCTCTGAGACATGAAAGTGATGTCGGAGTACTTTGAGTCCAGCTGCATTAAATCCCCCCCCTCTTTTACTCTCTCAAAGAAACTCGTCCTTTCTCTCTCTCACTTTCAAAAGGAGCTCTCGGAGGGTTCCTCGTCTTGAAACCAATACATCTGACAGAAGAAGGAGATTCCCAGATTAATAGCGCTCGCTTTTTGCACGCTGAGATTCAAGATGCAAAGGTTTTATTGTCCTATGCACAAAGATACAGAGTGGAAATGGAAATGAAATTCTTCTGACCTCCAACAATGCAACATATATAATCAAATAAGAGCAGCAAACAATCACTTATAGATAAAAGTTACACGTGCATTTCTCACAGCTTTCCCCAGACCTGCTAAATCCACCTCGTGCATATTTTAACGAGGAGAACCGCCCGTGGCTCCGGTCCAAGTCCTTTTCCCCGGGATGAATGTAATAATTCGTCGCCGGGCGGTTTCTCTAAAGGCAGCGCGGCATCAAGAGAGAGATTGACAGATGTGAGCTGCTGGATTACTGCTTTGAACTCAGTCCAACTCTCCCTCTGTTGCAGGTGCTAAAGAGATTGATATCGCCGCTACCCTGGAGCACTTGAGAGACCAGAGAGCTGGGATGGTGCAGACAAAGGTAAGGAGTTAGGGAGGGAGGGAGGGAAGGAGGGAGGAAGGGAGGAAGGGAGGAAGCCATTCAAACATGTCTTTGTCGAGTGAAGGTTTATGTCCTGAAATTAGCATCGAAGCACATTTACAACCTGCCTAACTAACTGTTGTATTCATTATTATTTTCTGGAATAATTTGATGAAAAGGTTTTTTTATATGTCCTTAATCTGATTTAGAGTCTGAAATATCAGGATGTTTGATTAACCGTCACAAACACGAGCTCGAACCAGAGATTGTTAGGCATTCTTCTAGTATGTTGTTCACATGTGGGACCCTGTGGTGCTGTTGGGGTCAAACTACCCTAAGACATGATTACAGAAATCTAAAATGACAACACAATCCTTTACAAATACCGTCTTTATTCCCAACAATATGACATGTATGATTACTTTTTGCAAATCACTTAAAGTTCAAGTTAGATTTATGTAAAAAGAAAATCCACTATAATAAACACGTGGGTTGCATTTTGAATGGACAGCAAATACGGCTCTGGAGTTTCAGGTGAAAGAAATCCTTCTATCATTTTTCTTTTAGTTAAAATTAAAAAAAACGGATACATGTGACCGCCATACGGAGGCCGACAGGTGCAAAGGGGGGAGGGAGGGAGGGAGGGAAGGAGGGGAGGGAAGGAGGGAGGAAGGGAGGGAGGGAAGGAAGCAGGGAGGGAAGGAGGGAGGGAAGGAGGGAGGGAAGGGAGGGAGGGAAGGGAGGGAGGGAAGGAAGCAGGGAGGGAAGGAGGGAGGGAAGGAGGGAGGGAAGGAGGGAGGAAGGGAGGGAGGGAAGGAAGCAGGGAGGGAAGGAGGGCGGATGATGAATAGAAAACTCCAATAACTAATAACTAACTAACACAGATAACACACAGAAGCCTCTTACATGTTACAGCACTTCTACACATATAAACATGTATTTACACATTTATCACCAGACAGAATAAGTATCTTCTACTAGATGGCATTTTAGGGCTTTTCCTATCTCTTACATGCATCATTCTAAACATCCGCCAAATTGACCGTTTTTATGTAATATGTTGTAAAAACGTTAAATAAATCCAACTTGTTCCCACCATTATCAACATGTTTACTGTTTGAATCTCAAAAGAGTTCAGTGTTATGGTCGTTTCAGAATGATAGGACGTTGCGTCTGTCGTCCTTCACCTCAATACATTTATTTGAGGCTGCGTGCGAGACATTTGCTCTCCTGCAGGAATGATCAGAGTAATCATAATAAAGGCAGCAGCGTGTTAACATTTATGGAAGCTGCTGTTTCTCCATGGTTTCATTACTGATGCTTTTACAGCGCTGGTGTATACGTGAACATTATATTGCAATATAGTTGATTTTGCACAGACATTAGATAGTAACTAGATGCAACATGTCGTAAGGTTTTAAGATGCATTTGTATTAAACCTGGCGACCTCATCATGCAATCAGGACATCATGCAGAGTCTGATCTCCCCCTGGTGGTCTAAATGAGATCATGCATCTGCTTTGAAAAGTAATTAAACTCACAGAACGTTACACATGTAATTGTGATGTTCTGTAGCTGTGTTACATACGTCCTGGCTCAGTGCAGACGTCCTCCTGCGTATCGACCCCTCTCCTCCTCAGGCCAGACGGTGACACTTCTAAAGACTCAGAATTCCTACGTACCTTTCTCTCTCTCTCTCCAGCAGCTCCTCACATCAATCACACTCTCTCTGGGCTTCCTCAGGGGAGAACTATGAGTGGGATTCACAAACAAACACACACACACACACACACACACACACACACACACACAAAGAGCTGAGACACACACACATACACAGAGAGAGAGAGGTGAGACACACACACACACACACTGAGAGAGAGAGAGGTGAGACACACACACACACACACACACACACACTGAGAGAGAGAGGTGAGACACACACACACACACACACACACACACACACACACACACACAGACAGCTGAGACACACACACACACACTCACAGAGAGAGAGGTGAGACACACACACACACACAGAGAGAGAGAGAGCTGAGACAAACACACACACAGACACACACACACACACACACACACACACACAGAGCTGAGACAAACACACACACAGAGAAAGAGAGCTGAGACACACACGCACACGCACACACACACACACACACACACACACACACACACACAGACAGCTGAGACACACACACACACACACACTCACAGAGAGAGAGGTGAGACACACACACACACACACAGAGAGAGCGAGAGCTGAGACAAACAGACAGACACACACACACACACACACACACACACACACACAGAGCTGAGACAAACACACACACAGAGAGAGAGAGCTGAGACACACACGCACACGCACACACACACACACACACACACACACACACACACACACACACACACACTTCTAGTTGAATTTCAAGTTACCTGTGAACACGACTGACTGACTGAAAGCTCACTAAAACCTTCCTCTTCCTCCTCCTCTTCCTCCTCAGGAGCAGTTTGAGTTTGGGCTGACGGCCGTGGCTGAGGAGGTGAACGCCATCTTGAAAGCGCTTCCTTAAAGGAGGCATCTCACCTTCCTCCTCCTCCTCCTCTTCATCGCTGAATATCGCTCTCCTTCCGCCCACTCCAGCCCGACATCTTCGTCCTCGCTCTGTTTCTGTCTCTCCCTCCTCTTCACCTCTATATAGAAACTGTATACTTCTGAATGTCGTGCCAGAGATCTCGCCTGGATCCATGTTGGCAGAAACCGATCATCATCTTAAAACAAACTCCTACTGCGGGACTTTTTGCCAAAATGAGTCCTGGTTTCTCCTAACTGTGATGTTGTTCCTGAACATACCGTTATAGTGCCACTGACGAGCTGCTGTCGTGACGTCGAGTGAAGAATTATGTCCTAAAATAAGTGTTGGAAAGCTGATCGGCACATTTAAAACATGCCTAACTAACTGTTGTATTCATTATTACAGATTGCAGTTGATTTTCTGAGATAATTTGATGAAAAAAGGCTTTTTTTTAGAGTCTAAAATATCAGTATTTTCAATTAACCGTCACAAATGACAAAGATAGAAGTGAATTCTTACATTTTAGAAACTGAAACCATTGATTTTTAGGCCTTTTTGCTTCACATTTGGGACCCTGTGGTGCTGTTGGGGTCAAATGAACCAAAGACATGATTACAGAAATCAAAATGACAACACTATCGCTTTCAAATACCGCCTTTCTCTTACAATTCCCACCAATATGGATAACATTTGTGATTGTTTGCAAATACTAAATCACTTAATGTTCAAGATAGATGTATGTAAAAAGAAAATCCACTTTAATAAACACTTAGACAGCAAAGTGGAGTTTCAGGTTAAAAAATATAATCCTTCTATAATTTCTCTTGTAGTTAAAATAAAAAAATCGGATGAATTGAACCGCCATACGGGTACGGAGGCCCACAGGTGCAAATGCATCCAATTAGGAGAACGTTCCAATTAAGAAAAACACGTTGCGGTTTCAAAAACGATGTAATTATTTGTATTTGTGTCGTTTTTAAAGCTGCAGCGCGTTTGCACCAGTTGGCCACCGTACATACGGGTTTAAAGAACTACAAAAATGGCCGCCGGTACATTTTCTGTCTCTTCTACTAATCGCAGCAGCTCTCATTCATCATAGTACTTTTAAAGTTAATGTAAAAATCATAATATTGTACAGAATATTAACGAATCGATGTGTTTTGGAAATACACTCATTATATACTCACATGTACAGACGTTGAAGTGTGTGTGTGTGTGTGTGTGTGTGTTGTATTTTGGGGATAAAAGCCTCACAGATTATGAATTTGTTCTCGACATATCAGGTGTTTTTTAATCCTAATTACACACATTGTCACACTGTTAATATTAAATGTAATGCATATATCCCAGATAGCTATATATGAATAGAATCAATAGATTATATTTAAGCCAAAGTGAAAGTTGTCCCTCCATCTCCGTATATCGTGATATTTTGTGACCCTCTATGTATAGACAACTTTACGATATATAGTGCTGTCTGAAATGTATACGGAGAGCCTCAATGATGATATCATAATAATATATTTTGTGTGAAGAGTAATATTCAGATTGGTAATAAATCAGAACAGATTATACTGCGCTGCTGTCTGTGTGGGTTTTTACCGATACTTCCATCAATATGTACTGAACGACCGTACGTTTAATTATATTATCTGATGAATACATGCAGGGTTACTTCAAAATGTATTCTGTTATGACCTGTAAAAAGGGATTTTAGCCTTTACAGACCATTTACATGCACTAAAACCTAGAACACACTACAGGGGAAACAAAATCAGAATAGGGCCTCTTTAAGTGAGTTTCTTTGCTTCATTTGTTCTGTTTTTAATTCAGAAAGTGAACCTATATGTTCATAAAATAGTGTGTGTGAGCTTAACTGTGTGTGTTAAACTAAAACGGAGCACTCAGATGTTATTTCTGCTTTTTTAAACAGTAGTATGTGCTCATTGTGAGGCTGAATATGCTTCATGAAACACAGGTAACTAGTCATTGTAACGGATAACAAATGACATCAATAGAAGTGAATTTTTACATTTTAGAAGCTGAAACCATAGATTTTTTGGCTTTTTTGCTTCATATTTGGGACCCTTTGGTGCTGTTGGGGTCAAATGAACCCAAGACATGATCACAGAAATCTAAATGACAACACTATCGCTTTCAAATATCGTCTTTATTCCCAACAATATGACATTTATGACACATTTTTGTAAATACTACATAATAGGGCCTCTTTAAGTGAGTTTCTTTGGTTCATTTGTTCAGTTTTTAATTCAGAAAGTGAACTTATATGTTCATAAAATAGTGTGTGTGAGCTTCACTGTGTGTGTTAAACTAAAACGGAGCACTCAGATCTTATTCCTGCTTTTTTGAACAGTAGTAAGTGCTTTCATTGTTACGCTGAATATGCTTCATGAAACGCAGGTAATTGTAACGGATAACAGGTCATTTCCTGCTTTATATCCCTCCGTCACAATTGCCAACCTTGAGACCTCAGAAATCGGGAGCATTTCAGTTGTAAGTGCAATACCTGTAGCACCATGGACCATGGAGTGGGCTGGACCTGTATCCAGGAAAGGAGTGAGCAGAGGGTGGAGTTGTCGATTCTTGTTCTGTTTACTGTGACTATCTTCCTCACCCTCTCAGACTTTCAGTTGCGTGCGCTACTAAAGAGACGCGCTACCATGGAAACCAAACAATGGTGTAGCTGTATTAAAGTCCGAGTGGAAACAGTCCAGGGTAAATCTGATTTTGTCAGAAATCGGGAGAAATGCGGGAGAAATATGACCCCGGGAGGAAACCGGGAGAGGGTTATGAATTAGGGAGTCTCCCGCGAAAATCGGGAGGGTTGGCAAGTATGCCCTCCATATCAACAGCGAGATATTCCGATTTTGACGTATCTCACTCCAGAGACTTATCCAAAACTCTACTTTAGAAATCCCTAAATTAAAAATCACTTTGAGTTAAACCGAGCGTCCACAGAACGACACGCAGTCGTTTCGTGACGCATTAATCCTCCAATCCAAATGGGAGCTGACAGGATATCATCGGAGCAGCGGAAACCTCAGGAAGCAATTACCATGAATACATTTTCTAATAAACTTGTTCCCATCAGACGATAAGCAATTAAACACGCGTAATTATGGTTTCCATACAGTCGTTTCTAAGCTGATTAACTCGGTGTGCTTTACAACCTGAGATGATACGAAGAGGCCTTTTGGTTGGTGTTTGCTGGTTAGCGATGGCAGCTCATCAGCACATCGTATGCTAATGAGGCGGCAGGACGTGAGACTGGTTATTACAACTGGCACACACACACACACACACACACACACACACACACACACACACACACACACACACACACACACACAGGGACAGACACACACACAGACACACACACAGACACAGACACACAGACACACACACACACACACACACACACAGAGACAGACACACACACACAGACACACACACACACACAGACACACAAACACAGACACACACACACACACACACAGACAGACACACACACACACACACACAGAGACAGACACAGACACACACACAGACACACACACACACACACACACACACAGAGACAGACACACACACACACACACACACAGACAGACACACACAGACAAACTTCAGTTATTACGTTTTAAATCAAATGTAACGACATATTCTGACTAGAAATTAGACACATACAGTATACTTGGCAAGATTTTACATTTTTGGAGTGCACACACACACACGTACACACACACACACACACACACACAGACACAGACACACACACACACACACACAGACAGACACACAGACACACACACACAAACACAGACACACACACAGACACACACACACAGACACACACACACAGACACACACACACAACACACACACACAAGGTGTTTTCGCTTGAACAAATCTGTCAATAGAACAAGTACAAAATGGCTTGGTGAGATTTCTTGAAGTAAAGATTGGATAATTAGATAAATGAGATCTTGTATTTAGCTGGGGAAACTTATTTTGAACTATATTTGACCAGAATTAGGGAATTTTCTGTTTTCTGATGTTAGTTGGAGATAAAATAACATGTTTTTAAGAGACTTTGACTTAAAAAGATGCTTAAGATGCCTTGTCTAAAAACAAAACTTCAGTTATTACGTCTTAAATCAAATGTAACGACATATTCTGACTAGAAATTAGACAAATATACTTGGCAAGATTTTACATTTTTGCAGTACACACACACACACACACACACACACACACACACACACACATACACATACACACACACACACACACACACACAGCTCTCAGTCCTTCTGACACACTTGTATATTCATGCCGTCTCATAAGAAAGTGCCGTTTCTTTATTAGAGCAGCGATTCCCAACCAGCCGCACCCCGAGGCTAACAGCAGCTAATTTAAAAATATGATAAGAAAATACTTTAAATATCCAGAGACGAGGAAACGCTTTGATTCTCATGTTAGGTATATTTATTATTACACAATCGTCTGCACAGCGTAATGCAATGACTGGATGTTCAATGTTACACAGACTTGTAGATGTGTATTTTGATATTCAAAATGACTCATATTTGTATGTAATCAGCTTCATTTAATCAACCTATAAGAATCAATTAAAGTTTATAGTATTGTATCGTAGCTTATTTGATGTACTCCTAACGTAAAGTAGTGTATCGTAACGTAACGTAGCAGATTGGATCTTATTTAATCCGATCGTAACGTAATGTATTCTTATCTTGTCTTCTCATGTATTTTATTATCTGGTCTTATCGTAACGTACTTATTGTATCGTAACAAATGTTATCTTTTCTTGTCATATCGCAACGTAACGTAAGACAGAGAATCGTAACAAATCGTATCGTAGCTGATTTTCTCATCATATTTAATTTAATCAGATTGTATCTCATCTCAACTCTTCTTAACGTAAAGTATTGTATCTTAACTTGTCTTTTCGTATATTTTATTGTCTTATCGCAACGTACTTATTGTATCGCAACGTAACGTAAGATATCGAATCGTATCGTAGAAGATTGTATCTTTAATCGTATCATATTGTATCTCATCTCAACTCAACGTATCGTAACCTAATGTATTGTATCTTAACTTGTCTTATCGTATATTTTATTGTCTTATCGCAACTTACTTATTGTATCGCAACGTAACGTAAGATATCGAATCGTATCGTAAAAGATTGTATCTCATCATATTTAATTTAATCAGATTGTATCTCATCTCAACTCTTCCTAACGTAAAGTATTGTATCTTAACTTGTCTTATCGTATATTTTATTGTCTTATCGCAACGTACTTATTGTATCGCAACGTAAGGTAACAAATTGTATCAAATCGTAGCGGATTTGATCTCAACTCATCCTATCGTAACGTATTGTATCTTATCGTAACTTTGTATATTTTATTATCGTGGCTTATCGCAACTTACTTATTGTATCGTATCTTATATCATATTATGTTATCGTGTCTAACATAACGTATCATATCTCATCTTAACTCATCGTAACTTATATATTTTCTTATCGTGTCTTATCGCGACATACTTATATTATCTTATCATGTCTGTCGTTCCTTGTCGTGTTGTATCGTAACGTATTACGTTTTGCGTCGAGCCCCGTCTTTATTTCGGACTTTGACATGATAACACGTAATAGTAATGGTAAAGCAGCAAACCTGAACCTGCTGCAGAGTTTATTATAAATCTTTATTATGGACATGCATGTAGAATATGTTACGAATCAAATGCAATGTAATGAAATGTAATGAAATGTAATGAACCTTCGATTCACTTCAGTTGGTTTCAGGAAAACCTTAGACTTCCCATGTTAGTATTTGGTCTTCCAGCCTCATGGGTATATTGTGGATAAGTCAACACAAATAAGTGTTTTCTTATTAATGAACCCCGTCCTGTTGAATTACGGGGCAGAACTTGACTGTAGCTTTAATCAGATCTACTTTAAAGAAGTCATTACTTAGTGCATTAAAAAACCACTTAACTCCCAAGTCACGTTGCTGTGTTTCTGGAGTGAAGTCCGTGTGGTTTTGCATTTAAAGTAAATCCACCTGCGGGTCATTGCACGTCTGAGTGATAAAACGACATGCTGACAAACATGTCATCTGGGAAACGAGATCTCAGAGTGTTTGCTTGTTGGGGAAAGTGTCTGGGAAGCTTTCCAGGACTTCCCAAAGAGAAAAGCCTTGTTTTCCCTGCTGGTTGAAAGGAGAGCAGCTTGCAGCGCCTGTTCCTCTCATGTCTGTCCAAGGCCTTCAAACCTTTGATCTTCTGTAGAAACAAACAAGCTTTTCAACTCGGCTCTCCAGGCTAGTGTCTCTCTTCTTCTTCTTCTTCGAGGGTCTCTGTTTGTCAAAACGCTGATCCTGAGAAAACTGACTCGGGCGAATGCATGATTTAAAATGTGGACTCCCACTATGCTGTCAACAGTAAGCATGCTATAAAGATAGGATAAAAACAACCACTGTGATTTTAAGAGATATATCCAACAATAAATATGTAGTGTCTCTACTTTA